GGCAGCTGTTTAAGAGAAGCCTACTCGAGGCTGCCGCCGAATGCTGCGGATATAAACGGGTTCGCCTGCCTCCTGGAGATCAGCAAAGATCTTCATGGTGGACATGAGAGGTACAACTAGTATTTAAAGAGCAAAAAGCAGCGTTCAAGAAATAGTTTGGAAACAAAAAGCCATCTACTGGCGTGCGATATGTCGAGGCACGCAAGGCGGCAGCGAATGCAGTGGTATAAGCCAAGGCTGATTCCTAGGAGCAGGATCAGTTCGGTGAGGTGATGGAGTCGAATTTTCAGACAACAAACAAAGTATTCTGGCAGACCATCCGCCGGCTCCAAGATGAAAAGAAGGACAGTTAAAACACTATTGAAAGACAGGTCTAGACACCTTCTTAAAGAGGATGAAGACATTCTTCAGCGGTAGAGACAGCACCTTGAGGTGTTCCTTAACCCCGAGCAATCGCCGGAAGACTCGCCTGTAGAGCAGCAGGGAACGGATGTTACGATCTCTGCAGATAAAATCATACATGGTGTGAAAAGTTTTTGGAATTGATGAAATTCGCCCTGAAATGCTCATGGCGCTAGGAGAACAAGCCAGTGCTGCCTTACCCGTGTCTCTGAAACTGCACTGGCTACGGGGAAGACACAAACGGACTGGAGAAAATGCGTTGGTGTACCCCTGTTATAGAATGCAGATCAGAGGGTGTGCTCCAAATTATCAGGCCATTATATTATTGAGCCTCCCAGGTAAGGTTTACGGTTAGGCGCTAGAAACGAAGTACGGAGGAGTAACAGACTTCAAGATACACAAATGGCAGTATAGTTTCCGGCCCTGTAGAAGATTATCTGGCCAAATATTCGCCTGAAGTGGATTGTTGAGAAATCGTGAGAATATGTATATACATATATAGTGCGACTGAATATATTATATATATAGTGCGACTGAGGAGTGCAGATGACAATCGTTGAGAGCGTTGCTTTAGTCGATGTATTTGTAAAATTGATTAAAGACACTCACATCGGTATTCTTTGAGATAGGTCAATTTTTTGGTGTTATGGATTGTTCGTTGAAAGAATCGGTGGCATGTAGAACGTGGAATACGGAAGCAGGTCCTTTCAGAATTGAGCTTTCGTCGCTTCACTCGCCATTGACAATGAGTATCATTTCGTTGAATGATAATAAGTGATTACACGTTGTATTGGTCATCAAATTGTAGATGTAGCCTTAGGAAAACGGATGGAAAGACATTTCTAGGTGGCTCGTGGGAACATAGATTGGTTTTGAGGTTGGCCCTGGCATATGGCTTAGTTTCGTGAAAAGAATGATACCATAAATGATGATCAATAATTACAGTGCATCAGCGATTGGCATCTGAGGACCTCAAACATTTCATCCTTATCTTCCCTTTGTTCCTAAACCCCAAGATTCGTCACTCTATGAAAATCTCATTACACAGTTTTATTTTATGGTGCTCTATTCTGACCTATTGGACTCATCCTCATTTGAAGTTTTTCAAAATTCCCAGATGTTTCCATTATGTTACAGTCCTATGGTCTTTTCTGGAAACGGTGCTCGAACATGTGAATTAAATACTGCCTTGCCATGCAGCGCTGCCATCGGGCCAACAGTCGCTCCCTCAATTGAACAATGCGTCAATTTAGCAGGCGGCTGCTTCCACCCTGCCAAAATGGAATCGGTCTTCTTCTGTTTATCTCGGTTTTATTTATGACGTGTTGATTTGGATGAAAATAAAAACTTTCTTAAATAGCTCTGTTTTTTTTTCAGTGTCGTAATTTTCTGAACCGAGGTCGTTATTGCTCTTCTCAGTACAACGTATAAAATTCTCTCCGTAAACATCCGAGCAGTACCTTATGGTAGGAAGAGTTTGAAATTTACGACCAACGTTGCGCATACCGATCATTCGCCACTTTTCCCTTCAACCATTTTCAGTCTTTTTGTGCACTTGTTTCAAGTATTGTCACTTTTGTTTTAAACAGCAAGAAAAGTACCATTTCTACCCTTCGAAAATTGCAGGATGAGGAATGCGCTGTAGCATGTTTCCTTTTACACGCTCAAAGTCTTTTCACTGTCAGCAAAACGTGGAAGTTTAATCGCTATCTCCTCAATCATAAGGAGATTCTATCTGTAACTGGGTATCACCGAATGATAGGGTCTTATCTGGTGTCTACAAATAGTAATCAGTTTGGTACTTTCCTAGGTTAGAGAGTGTCTCGTTTGCCAGTGGAGAAATATTACGTCAATTTCTAGTGCGAAATGATACGAATTGGAATGGCGCTTTCAGTGGCTGAAGACACCTGGTATTTGAGTGCAAGAAATAGGGCCAGGAAGTTTGTTAAGGGAAACATAAGCTGAAGATCCTTTCTGATTGATTGCGCTGGACAAAGGTCTGATGAGACAGTATCTGAAGAATGACTAGATGTTCCATTGGTCGACAAACAAGAGCAGTTAGTGACAGCAGCGAATCACCACACCGTATCTCCTAGCTTACATAGTTAGTCATTTCTCCTAGTTAGGTTGTATTTTATTGTTCAGCAAGGCCGTCTAGGTGTTGCCCATTAAAAACCATGAGATGGCAGCTAGCAGAGCCGAGAATCAACTGTAAACAGAACCGGACCGATAAAAGGTTATAATGCATCGTGTTGTGTCAGATAATCGTCTGCAGTCGTGCGTGATCAAAAGTACGACCGTTGCGGCGTAAATCGCTAAGCTGAATGTTCTCACTTCTCTTAGCGGGTCAAAAATTATTGGCAGTGCAAATACGCTGATTAAGTTTATCCAAGATCTAGTCGTCTATGGATTTTAAGAAAACGAAACTTTAAATTTTTAAATACTTTCTATGACACAATCTTCACAAACAGGAAGACAACGCATAAAATGGTCTTTAATTAGGGGCATCTGACGTTTCGAACCAAACTCGGCCTGTCTTCAGAGTACAGTGGCAAAAGGCACATAATGTTTTCACTCGGATTTGGTTGACCAGACTAGAAAGACAGATGGTTGTTAGATTTTGATGACAGACAGATGGACAGGTAGACACCTGGTCAACCAGGTCCGAAACAAGCTGGTTTCGAAACGTCAGATGTCCCTAATTAAAGACTCTTTTATGCATTGTCTCCCCGTTTGTGACTTACCTAAAGATTATATCACCTCCCGCATATAGAAATCATGTACGATTTTCAATACTTTCTATGATAATGTAATTATCGATCTGGTAAAGAAGCCAAGCACATATATCGCTAAGGAAAAGCTGAGACTTCGACGTAAACTAGTCGAACCGTGGTCACTTACGCTCTACATTGCAGCAGCCATTATGTTTTATTATGACTGTATACTTCGTTCCTTCATGAAACAAAATTCCAGGTAGTTCGGTGGAGGTGATTGCAATTCTACTGGCAGCGTCTGCACCATATGATCAATATTACACTGCCAAACACCAGCGGTTACTTCGACGTCGACAGAGAAACAGTTTCGCTTAAAAGAGGTTCAACAACTTCCACTTTGGAGCAACTTGGCTTCTGCTTGGTCGGGAGCCGCACAAGGGGTGTCTTTATCAAAAGTATTTACCCTGGCAGTCCTGTGGAACAGGTAAAAATTACAGTGACAGCGAGGAATATATGTCTGTCTTGCGAAAGCATTTACGGGCATATCGCCTCAGTGACTATGTTCTATATCTTATATTGCCCTCCTGTGTTTAGTCCGGCAGAATCCATGTCGACGACAAACTCGTTCAGGCGGACGATGTGCCGCTGCTTGGCCTTACTCCTTCTCAGGTTGTACGAATCCTCAACTCAGCGTTGTCTCACAGTCCGACCATACAGCTGACCATACTTCACTGTTGTCACCCGTCTTCTCGTCTGGTTCCTGCGACCGTCAATGAAAATCCCTCTGAACAACACGGTAGGCACTTTACACTTTTTCGTTAGTGGTTTACATTCATGCTTTTCATACCTGATGTTGTGTAATCAGTTATGGGTAGCACTAAAATTAGCATATCAAGTGATGATGGGAGATGGGAGAGTTAAGAAAAATTGTAGTCGTGCGATAGAGGTGTGTTTATGTTCGCGCCTTCTCTGAAATATTCAATCGTACCTAAAATGCAGGCATGATCTCTATGTCGCTTTCTGCTTAAATATATGATAGATGCAGGAAATTACTCTCATTCCTTCCATCCGAATTGGCTCTCAGATTATCTTTCTTCTATGGGCGATAAAGATGGGACATCTGTGAAACCGCGGTCATCATTGACCAATTAACATGCCGCGTCAGGAATCACAGTGACCCTTCGTCGGTGCTGCGACACCTACGAAGAAAGCATATACTCTGCTATTTTTAAGCAGAGATCAAACAGCATGGCTATATTTCTCACAAGCTTTGCCTCGACTGTCCAGAGCACCATGCTGTTCTCACTTTTATTAGCTTGGGACCTGCTTTCCTTTGGGGGGGGGGCGCACCAAAGCACAGTGGGACGAATTCCTTTCTCAGGAGAAACAGCATTTCATAGCAAACAATTTACGCCGTGCGAGGGTGTGAACCTGGCACCTTAAAATACGACTATCCAACTGCGCCCCTGCTCCTCGATTTTTTTCTGGTTTATGTTTTTTTCCTGAGAAGGAACGCTTGGTTGATTTTTAGTCAAGGGTGTATACAGTTTGGCCGTCAATGACGACATTCGCTGCATGATTAAGCTTTGGCACACTGTCACATTACATGACAGGAGCACTTCAGAAAAGACACCTTAAACCGCGCCGCTCGTCATGCAAACACGAGTGAGTCCTGAGGAAAAGTGGTGAGCAGAGTTGGACGCTACAGTAGCCTACAAAAAAAAACGCCTCCAATGCTATCACGGAATTTGGCCATTTAAATATTAAGTTGCTAGTCATCTCTCCCAAGCTATCTGACAGAAACAGATAGCCTCCTGACCCCCTTCCTCCTCCCCCCAGATAATATGAAGTTAAACCGTTAAACATTCATATCCGTCTTCGGCTAAGATATCCGATCTAGATGACGAGACGTCAACATTAACAAATGAGACTTTTGCTTCCTTTAAAATTCAACGTTAATTGGTCACCTAAGTCCAACCTCAATAACTTCCCAACAATGTGTGTGATTATTCTCCAACGTTTCGATTTACAGCACTTTTGAGGTTCATTTCAAAATTTTGCTTCAGGAGAAAAAGTCGTCGAACGAAACTCTACGACTATCGACACCAGCAATGGCAATGGTGACGCAAAGACGAAGTCGAAATCAGGTTCCATTTCGGCCGAAGCTGAAGTACATATCTCTGAAACGAAAGAGGATGATAAGAAGGGGGACACTTTGGACGTTATCTCGACGAAGACAAATGCTGAAGTAATCGATGAGGATACTGTAAGGCAGCAACGAAAGTTACGCAAATTTTTACCGATACAGTACACCAAATTATAGGCCAAATGCAAGAACAACGACAAATCACCACAGGAATCAGTGCCTACTTTCAAAGGTAGAAGAGTGACATTTGCAAACATGTCCATGGAGAACAGTAGCGACTCAACAGGAGACCTTTGCTCGATCTGCGAAAACGACTTGGTGTCCCCGCCAGAGAACAGGTCACAGAAGGCAAGGTTGGACAGGTTTTCCGCGAATTATGAAAAGGTTATTGATGTTCTGAGAACAAACATTTGCAAAACTGTTGAACCTGACTTTAATCCTGCAACAGTCACTGATGAGATGGACGAATACTTGATATGAGACTAAGGAATTAAAAATTACCATCGTCCATGACAAAATGCTAATCATTTTGATGCAATCATATGAAACACTTTGCTTAACTGAAAAGTAATTATTCTAATTATTCCTAGAATAGTTTACGTAGATATAATTCCTCATAGGCATGAGTTATAAACTTTTAACTCGTCATGACGTTTTTCGAAATTCCGTGCCTCGTGCACTTAAAGAAAAGTACAGCCTGTTTACTAAACAGTTATGATTTACGTTAATGAAGAATTTTTTTATTTCATTCACACTGGATGAAATGTACCATGTGATGAATGACACGCACTTTAGCTCGAACCCTCTACCAGCGGTTGGAGCTGCAGTATTCTTCTTGCAATCATTGCTGTTCCTGTGATGATCACGTTCTGCAGCTCATCCACTTTGATCGCTTCATCAGCAAGCTCTGATTGCATTTGTTTACGACACCGATCATCACAGGAACGATTCCCGCTGTTGCCCTACAGAACTTTTGTAATTTCGTATTCAATTCTTTATATTTCAGTCTCTTTACTCCCTCCCCCTCCCCAACAACAGCGTCGCCGTTAGCCGGGCATGTTAAATCAGTTATTCCCACACCCCTTTTCGCATTGCCTGCAAACACGATATCAGGATCGCGAACCGATATTTGTTTCTAAGTTTGTAGGGAAAAGTCCCAGCGTTTTTCACTTGATCAGTCTCCCTCACTGATGTCACAGCCATTGCTCTGTCTCTGGACATCTCGCTTTCTGATGCAATGCGTATAAAGTTAATCAGGCACTTAGTCTGGCCTCTCACCTCAAACCTGCGCATTCAGCATGCGTAGTCCAAATAGAAGCTACAGCTTCCACTTGCACAGCTTCGAAGGTCACTGAAGCACGGAGGCCCCATCGCCACGTTAGGGCTACGATCTTGGTACGGTTACGCCAATGAAGAATTTGTGATATGTTTAACAGTTAATAGTCAAGTAATGAAACCCGGCTTGGAAGAATTGTAGGTTTATTTACTTACTGCAGTATTTGACCCCATAACTTATATCCAAATATTTTCAGCTATAACAGGACAGACCTCGTCTAGGAGATCAGCATGCAGCACAGAAGTACACGATAGAGGTAGATCTGCTTTTGGAAAGAATTATTTCTTTCTACGATGCAGTAATCCGTGTCTTATGGAAAAAGTGTTGAAAAGCTGCGAATACAGCGATCATCACAAACCAGAGATGTCCTCATATGCCAGCCATTTCCGGCGATGGTATTATTAACCTGCTGCAACGATAATTATACTCGAAAATCACCATGTTGTGGACAATACACCTCTGATTGACATGTTGCTACTCAAGCCGAGAGCTTGCTGGCATAACGTTCGGCTGCTGGGTGGCGATATTCATTGCATTGTTAATCTTCGGCACACTTCCACAACAGAAGTACCGTATGAGCGCGTCAAACATTCGAATGTAAAGCAGTTGGTTATATTTTACATCCCCCCAGCCACACAACGGAAGAAAGCTTATTAAGTGTTTTGAGAAGATATGGCACGGTGTAAAATGAATTAGTGGAGGTTATCATTGATTCGTTTATTTGCATATGTGCATATGTAGATGTTTGAATTTTTCCAGTTATCGCATTTCAGGCGTATGATTTCTGGGCTCTGATCCGACGTTTCTTTCAGGTGTTAAAAAGCCTTCTCATTCATGATCCATCTAGATACGAGGTAAAAACTGCTGACTTTAAACGGAGTCTTCGTTGACAGCGTCTAAAGTAGTAATAATGTAACGATAATGACCAAAGAGTCGGTGTAACGTAACTGTGCCTGCGAAGCTACAGTAAACGATAGGCCTCGATTTCCGCTGCTTGTCTGCTAGCAGTGTACATTGACTGTTTCCGTTTGTTCATCACGTGCTATGCAAGCTGTCTGCTCGATGCACGGATTGTTGTTAGCTGGTAGCTGATCGTACTTACTGAACTGTACTCTCACGGATCATATCTATTGAGCTCGACTGAATTAAAAATGAAGGTCCCTTGTCCATTAATCAATCGTTAATAACTTATATTGCTTTGGCTGTCAACGTTTCGCCGCTCTCCATTTATCAGCGATAAAATGTCCCTGTTATAGCTGGCCATTAGCAGAAGCCAGAGACGGATATTCTGTCGCGACAACATCGATAAAATCCCTAACGACGAGCTTCCGCTAATATCTTTCGATCAACTGGTCAACAGCAACCAGTCCATTTCGCCGGTGGACAACAAGTACTGTTGCATTCCGAGTTATTGAAATGATTTGCATATATTACGTGCGTACTTTGCTGCATCCCGAGTGATCTGACCGAAAATCATGCACATGTCCAGTGATTGGCTTCGTACAAATTATCCAGTCGTTCTTGCTGCGAGGAACGAATGCGATTAAAGTAATAGGGTGCTTTTCCGGGAACAGCGTGTTTCCGTTTAGCTATTTAAGCATGATGGCATATCATCAACACAAAACAGTAATCGAACGAGACTCTGTTGAGTTATTACATCGATTGTGTTAGGCATTAACTCCTCACTCTCTTGACACACAAATACTTTCAGCTAATGAGAAGTTGTTCTGAGTTCGCTGGCAGAAAAGTTCTGCCTCAAGTATGCCTCTGCCCATCTCAAATTCACTACCAAGTATGTTCTACCATCTGAACCAGAGGACTGAGAGCCGCAGTCTACGCTAGTGAGTTCGAAACTATATAAAAACAACCAATCAATGATGCAATATTCCCTTAACGTATGTCTTCGTCACAGCCGCCCTCCAATGATATCCTTTCGATTAGTACGAAGGCACTGTCGATTACGCGTCCATGTTAACGATGATTAAAATTTGTTCTACATCTGTGTCAAAGCATTCCGCATCACTCTCAACTGACCAATTCTATCCCTCATTTAGACGG